CTCCTGGGTCTGCAGCTTGTGGACAGTGACCCGTGATTATGGTCTTCGGCCTCTGTAATCATGTGAGCCAATTCTTCAAGGTTCTAATATCTAGTAAATTTTAAAGTCCTTTAATAGACATTAAAGTCTAATATTTAAATACAGATACTTACTGTTATTTTGATATCATAATTGTATTTAATTGCATGTGGAGTCCCTATTTGGGAACATAAGCTTGATTACAACATTATTCCCAGTGAGAGAAAATGACTTGCTGCAAAATATTTGATGCAAAGTGTGACAAATGCTTCTTCTGACAGGTTAGGACTTCAGTCCTGAGTTTCTGAAATACCTGAGTAAAGATCCTTCCCTTCCCTGTTCTTCCTTCCTGAATAAACATATGAAATGAGCAAAATAAACACAGCAGAGACTTAAGTAAAACAAACATTTAAAAAAATTTAATTCGCGAAATACACTGCAGTATGGATGCGTGTCTGAATATGCATAGAAAAATATCTGGAAGGATACATATTAAATTGTTAACAGGTTACCATGGGGGTGTGGAACTGGGTTAGAGTGAGGGAAGTGCTCTTACTTGTAAATTCATATGCTTCTGTTTATTTGAAATTTTACAGTGAGAATTCACCACTTTTATAATAATCAAACCCATCAAAACCATAACAGAAAGTTTAATTAAAAAAATAAAAATAGTAACAAGTAGAAATAACACACAAATTCATGGCAGTCTTAAGGCAGTGGCAGTATGGAGAATCAAATCGCACCGCACGCTTTTCCACTAACACTGGTGGTAGATACAATTGTGTATGATAATCAAAGAAACAACATAAAAGAAGCCACTTTCAGTAGCATCCCATTGTAAAAAGCATCCCTGGGGTCAGAGTCCTTGAGTAGTAGACCCTTCGAGGTGGATATTCAAACGGAAAGCAGGGCTTAACTACTCCTGCACGATCTACAGGAAAACATGTCAATCTGAAAACTTCAGGCAAAAGAGCCACACAGAAGTAACTTTGGAATGCTTGAACAGTTAACCACAGGCTGGAAACTGGGGGAACAAGACCCCACCCAGCCCAGACCCAAAACTTAATCACCAAAACTTGGCAATCTATGGATGTAGAATGGGGATATCTAGTGCATCCATTTAATTATCATTTCTCCCATAATTCCTCAATCTGCGCAATGATTTTAACCTAAAACTTCTGCAATTTTAGTTGGAATGAAGTTAATTCCATTTAGATAAGGTTTACTTTCCAGTTGAAAGACCGGAGAGGGGCGCCTGGGTGGCGAAGTCGGTTAAGCGTCCGACTTCAGCCAGGTCACGATCTCGCGGTCCGTGAGTTCGAGCCCCGCGTCAGGCTCTGGGCTGATGGCTCAGAGCCTGGAGCCTGTTTCCGATTCTGTGTCTCCCTCTCTCTCTGCCCCTCGCCCGTTCATGCTCTGTCTCTCTCTGTCCCAAAAATAAATAAACGTTGAAAAAAAAAATTAAAAAAAAAAAAGACCGGAGAAACTCGAGACTAAGGATTTTCCATTGTTCACTTTTTTCCTCACAACTATTTCTAATTGCGTAATGAGCATTTTGGAAGAGAATACTTCTCATTTCTCAAGGGTCCCTAAAATTCTGTATTTAAAGAAATCTTTTTTCCCCTGTTCTAGTTTTTTTCTCCTTTCATTGAGGTCATCACAGACAGCAGACTTTTTACTGTTCAGAACTTTTTCTTTCAACAAAGAGGATTCTTTAAGTGACTAGCGGGCTCATGGTTCAATACCTTCCTCAGAGTCAGAACTGGATAGGATCCATCTTTGGCAAGCTACACAGTTAAGAGCTTAACTAACAGAATTTTCCATTTTGCCGAAAGTCCGTTCTTGACCTAGGGGTCAAAGGCTTACGGCAAGATTATGCTTGTTGCATAAGTGAGCAATATGTGAAATCTGACAAAAAATTTATCAGAAAATTATTATAAATAGCAGAGATCGAGGTGTAAAGTCATAACAGCCCTCCCATTTTTGAAAGGTAACAACATCTGGAATGTTTTTGTTGCCAAATGGATTACACTATTTTCATTAGAAAAAAAAAAACAGTGAAAGATTCATATTTAGCATGATGCCTGCTACACAGTAAACATTCAATAAAAATCGGCTCTACAATTAACAATAGATTAAAACAATGAACAAGAATACTTGAACCCACAATGAGGAGAAAATCTTCAAAGTAATTTCCTAGAGTGTGTATTTAAATACAAAGTCTGAGCTCACAGAGAGCAGCAAGGGACTCTGCATTTTCTGGGTCTACCCCCTGGGCCCGAGCATAGAACTCAGCAGCTTGCCTCTTTTCTCCCTCCAGCTTGTAAACAAACCCCAGGGCACATAAACTCTGCACATCTGAAGCATCGTGACTAAGTCTCTTGACAGCCAATTTCTTCAGAGCACTTGTTAGTTTGGTCCGGAGGAGTGACCGGTCTCTAAGCTTCAAGGCCTCTACATACTGGTGGATGGCAGTACTTTCTGATTTACAGTGAAATTCTTGAAAGCGGCCATAGTAATAGTGGATCTGATGTCTGTGATCATCAGTTATGTTCTCCAGGTGAAGGGCTTTCTGGAAAACGTCTTCAGCCTTGCTATACTGGCCTCCCTCAGCGTACATGTTGGCCAGGTCCGTGTAGGCAAACGCAAATGTGGAGTCTCGTTCCACAGCTGCTTTGAAATGAGAGAGAGCCATCGCAATAAGCCTGTCGACTCTCAGTTTATCCTCCCCTTTAGGCCTGTTGCACGTGTCCTTCTTGATCTGGATCATTTGTGCCCTATAGCAGAGTCCCATCTGGTGATGCAGGAACGAGGACGTGGGCGTCGCCTTCAAGCCCTTTTTCAAAAGTCCAAGAGCTTCGTCCAAGGATTTTTTTCTCCTGTAGAATTTGGCTGCATAACGAAGGACGTAAGGTTGGGAAGCTATCTGGTCCAGGATTTCTTCAATGTGCCTTTCCCCTTCAGCTTCTGCATGTACATCTTGAAGCTTCAGCGCCAGTAAAACCTTCATGTAGGCATTATCTGGGTTCAGGGTGACAGCCTTCCTCAGCGGGCCCAGAGACAAGCTCCTTGCAGGCCCTCCTCTGTTACCGTCATCCAGCCGATACACCGTGATGGCGTAGCCAATGCTGAATTCTGGATTGTCAGGTTCCGCTTCCAGAGCCTTCTCAAAAGCCGCTTTAGCCTTCTGGTAATACTTTCCCCCAAATTTCAAGAATGCCCACCCTTTTTCACATTCAATCTCAGGACTCTCCAACTTGTAGTCAGAAGGACTGGACCGTTTCTTGCAGACAGCCCCTATCTTGTCTACATGCCTCTGTGCCTCCTTAAGCTGGTCCATGTGATAGTACACCCAGGCATAGTTTCCCCAAGTGACCAGACGCCGTATTTCTTCTTTGTCCGGGTGTTCTCTCCAGGTTATGTCTTCTGCTTGTTCCAAGCACGCCAGGGCATCTTCATTTTGCCCTTTTAGGTGTTTCACATAGGCCAATAGGTTGTAAAGAGTGAGTCTGGATTCTGTGGTAAGAAACTCAAGCTGCTGCCCGATTGTATTTTCCACATCAAACAGAATGTCTTCCTTAAGTAAATTCCATGTAAAGTGACATTCCAACTCTAACAGAATGGCCTTCAGGGGGTCCTTAGGCATTTCACTGTCAAAGATAAAGTCGTTTTTAAATTTTTGAAGAACTGAATCATTGTTTAAACCTCTAACACTGTTCTCTGCTTAGCAACCAAACCAGTCTTCTACTGGAATTTATAGTTGAAACACTGGGCCCCTGTAACTTTATATTGGTTTCCTCTGGGTCCAGTTACATTCTAGAAATATTTCATTAAATTCTCATTGCAAAGCCAGTTCTGAAAGACAGCAGGGTTTTCTGCATCACAGGGTATCAATTTCCTTTTGGCAGTCACTAGCCCCCAGGTACCACCTATTTTTTTTGTTTTAACTTTATTTTTGAGAGAGAGCAAGAGCCAGGGAAGGGCAGAGAGAGAGGGGAGAGAGAATCCCTAGCAGGCTCCGCACTGTTAGTGCAGAGCCCAACGCAGGGCTCAAACTCATGACCTGAGCTGAAATCAAGAGTCGGATGTGTAACCAACTAAGCCACCCACACGTCAGTACTGGGCATATTTTTACAGAGAGGAATTTATGATTATGATTATGATTTTTTAAATGTTTATTTTTGAGAGAGAGAGAGAGAGAGCATAAGAGGGGGAGGGACAGAGAGACAGAGACAGAGACAGAGACAGAAACAGACAGAGGATCTGAAGCAGGCTCTGCCCTGACAGCAGTGAGCCTGACTTGGGGCCCAAACTCACACATCATGAGATCATGACTAAGCTGAAGTTGGACACTCAACCAACTGAGCTACTCAGGCGCCCCTACAGAGACAAATTTAGGGACGCCTGGGTGGCTCAGTCGGTTAAGCATCTGACTTTGGCTCAGGTCATGATCTTGTGGTTCACAAATTTGAGCCCTGTGTTGGGCTCTGTGCTGACAGCCCAGAGCCTGGAGCCTGCTTCAAATTATGTGTCTCCTTCTCTCTCTGCCCCTCCCCTGCTCGTGTTCTGTCTCTGTCTCAAAATCAATCAATCAATCAATCAGAGAGGAATTTAAATGTTTTGTCTAACAGCCTTGAAAATTAAAAATAATAGATCTATAAACAGTAACGAATATAAAAATTCCATTTCTGCATTATGAGTAGGAAGGGAGAGAAGAATATGTGAGAAATAAGAAAAGTTCACTGGAGGAGACACAGAAGCCATATCAATGTATCATTTTTGAGGAGGAAGGAAGAAAGCGAGGGAGAGCAGGTGGGGCGGGGTGGGAAACCCCAGGGAGAGAAAGGCCCAGAAACAGACAAGAACAGGTATACCAAGAGATGAGGAAAGCATGATTTGAGATAGATAACAAGGAGAGCAGCAGAGAGTTCAAGAAAGATGGGGAGGGGCACCTGGGTGGCTCAGTCGGTTGAGCCTCCGACTTTGGCTCAGGTCATGATCTCACAGCTTGTGAGTTCAAGCCCAGCGTTGGGCTCTGTGCTGACAGCTTGGAGCCTGGAGCCTGCTTCAGATTCTGTGTCTCCCTCTCTCTTTGCCCCTAACCCACTCACATTCTGTCTCTCTCTCAAAAATAAATAAACATTAAAAAAAATTTTTTTTTAAAAAAGAAAGATCGGGAAAGGACAAAAGGAGCGTGGGTAATGTGTAGGTTTTGCTGTCAAATCCCACAACCCTCTGGCCTCTCGGGTTGTGGGCAACAATAAAGACTAAGACCTATTATTAACTCATCAGCTCCCTCAATATTCACTTCATAAATATTTGCTGAGCTCCCTTCGTACAACGCACAGTGTAACTCTGCAGAGCCCATTGGAAACATGATCTCAGAAACTAGGAAGAGGAAGAGGAAAGGAAGGGCTAGGAAATACTTATTCATTAGGGACAGCCTTCTCTGTGCGAGATCTCGTCAATAACCCTGGGGATGTAACCCTGAGTGAGACACAGCTCTGCTCATGGAGAGCTTACGTTATAAGTCACTGGTCAGTTACAGCTTAGCATTCCAACCAAGGTCTGTGAAAGTGACCCAGGAAGTGCACACAGTCCAGTGCTGTGGACATCTGTGGCTCTGGCTTGGTGAGGACCCCTTCTCTTGGTTTTCCTTTCTGGAACATGCTCTCCCTCTACTCTCAGTCCATGTGATTTGAGATGGGCCATCCACCATTCACTCCAATCTGGGAAGGCACAAGATAGTCCAGCCGTTCCCTGGTCCCAGTGATCCACTCAGAGGTAGTCCAGTTAAAATATAATTTTGCTGAGGGGCGCCTAGGTAGCTTAGTCTGTTAAGCATCTGACTTCAGGTCATGATCTCACAGTTGGTGAGGTCAAGCCCCATGTTGGGCTCTGTGCTGACAGCTCGGAGCCTGGACCCTGCTTCGGATTCTGCGTCTCCCTGTCTCTCTGCCCTCGCCAGCTGGTGCTCGCTTTCTCTCTCAATAATAGATAAATAAACTTAAATATATAATATTATATGTAATTAATATTAATACAATATAATAATATATAAAATTAGTATTATATATAATTAGTATTAATCGGTATAATTAATATATGCAACATGTAATTATAATTAATACAATTAATTGTAATACTTAATATATGATTAATATATAATTTAAATATATATTAATATATATTAGTTCATATATATATTTTAATATATATATAATTTTAGTGAAACTAAGTCTCTTCCTTCTGAAAAGTGTAAGCTGGTAGAATATAAGCTTGGAGCTGCTAATGGCCATCTTTCCAGACTTAGGGACAGCCTACCTGAGAAGGGATCTAACACAGCAGAAAGCAGAGCTCAGACAGGAGGAAGGACAGACGGCTTATGCCAGTGACTAAAGAGTCTTGCCTGGATCACCCTGTCTACCCCTGAACTTCTGTTTACTTAAAGACATAGCTCTCTCTCCTTTGTTTAAGCTGGTTTGAATTAGGTTTCTACTGTCTGCAACTGATGAAATCCTGAGTAATATTCCTAGTTTTACTTGTTTGTTTTGCTGATGGTGGTGGTGAGACAGTCAAGAAAGACATTCTACATCTACTACTGGCCATAATTAAGAAATTCGCAGAAAAAAAAAATTCCTTAAATCTTCTCTCAAACAGAGAAGTTCCCTGCTTACATGTGTGTATTTCTGTTTCTGTTGCACACGGGATCCCCACCCTCTTGTATGTAAAATATAAACCTATTTGTATAAATGTTTATGGGAACTACAGTAATATTTCCATCAAAACATTTGTTGACCACCTCATGTCACACAGGCCAGGCAGTATCCCAGTTGTATCCCAGATATAGTAGTGAGCGAGTAAGTTAGAAAAAGGCCCTTTCCTCATGGCAATTTCATTCTGGAAGAAGAGGGAACAAAAGGAGTTGAAAGAAAAGAAACATGGAAACAAATCAATATGGAAACAAATGGAAAGTATAATTCCAGATAGTGATAAGTGTTAAAAAGAAAAAAATAATCAGAGTCATGGTATTAAGAGGTGGTGGTTGGAGGCGGGGGGAGGTACTTTAGTTATGATTGTGAAGAAATAGCCCTTGTAAAAAGGGGCAATTGAAATAATCAGATCCCAACAGTGGAACAGAGGCAGTCATAGAAGATCTGAGGGCAGAATGGTCTAAGCCACTGCTTCTCTACCAGGGTGCTTTTGCTCCCTGGAGACATTTGGTAATGTCTGGAGACAGTCTGGTTGTCACACTGGGTGGGTCAAGACCAGGGATGCTGCTAACTATCCTGCAGTGCACGGGTAGGTCCCAGTCACCGTGAATTATCCAGCCCAAAATGTCAATCATGCTGAGGTTGAGAAACCCTGGTTGGGGCTGAGGGACCAGCAAGTGCAAAGGCCCTGATGTGGGAACAGACTTGGAGTGTTCAGGGGACAGAAGGAAGAAGGGTTAAGTGGAAGGTGAGGCATGGCAGTAGCAGGAACAGAAGGTGCAGGCTTACAGTCCATGACAAGGAATATTAATTTTACAATAATTCTAATGGGAAGCCATTACAGGGAGATTTTTAAGTATGGAAATGATAATGTTTGATACAGGCCTAAAAGATGTCCCTCTGGGGGCACCTGGTGGCTCAGTCTGTTGAGCGTCCAACTCTTGATCTCAGCTCAGGTCTTGATCTCAGGGTTGTGAGTTCAGGCCCTGTGTTGGGCTGTTGGGCTCTGCACTGGGCATGGAGCCTACTAAAAAACAAGATAAAACAAAAAACAAAACAATAAATTTA